GAAAATAAAAATGTCCACTTTGATTTTTACTGTTTTAGCTGAAAATTTTAGGTCACTTTCCCATCATGAAACTCAGAGGGCTTTAGACACTATTTGTATGGTTTGCTGTTTAAATACTGTGAATACTCAGTTTCTAGTTCCACAAAGAGATTCTAGTTTTACAGAAGACTTTTTTTCATCATATCAAATAGTATTCCTGGCAATAGAGTTAAATGTCATTCTTCATCCTAAACTACTACTTCCTTTATTTGATGTACCGAGGCAGTTTTGACACAAAATTGGCAGAAAATGTTGCATCCCCTTTTTTTCTCCTTTTTTTTTTTTTTTCTGTCAGGAAGTTCTCACTTTATCCTTAAAATAAATTGTATCTATGGGATTTTGGAAACAAAATCAGTAACTTAGCGTTGTTACTCCCTACAGAAGCAGTTTTAAAGATAGTGGAAATAGTATTTTATAAATTGAATTTGAATGTCAGCGTTCTGGAGTTATATCTTTAAAGATAAAAATGTAAGGAAATATTTGGCGGTCTTTAATTTTTTTACTATTTATATTGCAATAATGCTACGGAGAGCATATTAGAATGTTATAATGGTTTCTTTTTTGTCATATTGATTCTGATACATAAAGTCTTTGGCTTTCTCTTTAGGGGATATTATAAGCCATGTATTCAGAACCATATAAATACCAAAATGAAGTCTGTGTTGGTTTTATAGTGAGTTTATTAATAATTATGTTACCGTCTTTTGTCAGAAAGACCACAGTAATGAAAACCATGTTTCACCTTTTACGTACATAATTGGATGAGATCACCAGATGCTGATGTTACGAGCACATCAACAGGAAAAGTTGAAAATGGGAGCTGCATGGAAAAATACTAGAACCAATTAGCTCTGTCAAAGACCATCTGACCAAGTATAGGGGAGAAAGTAGATTTTGACCATGAACTGACCTCAGGTCATTTAGTAATGGAAAGAAACAGCAAGATGGTCCTTCTTAGAGTTGCTTAGGCTTTTGATATTAGCAGAAAATACCTTAGAAATTGGTACATCATGGTCAGTGTTTGAAAACTCGTTAGATTAATTTTGTTTTTCTAACATTTTATTATGATAATTGTCAGACATTCAAAAAAGTTGGAAAAAAAAAGTGTACTGTGACCACCTAGATTCTACCAGTAACATTTTGCGGTATTTGCCTTATTACATAACTATCATGTATTCTTTTTTCTATCCATCCATTGTTTTATGCATTTCAAAGTAAGTTGTACACATCCAGTACTCTCAGTCTGGAACATATCATTAACTAGAGGTCAGAATTTATTTATGGTTCTGTTTTCAAAATAAAATTACATGCAGTAAAATGTACAGATCTTAAGTGTACTGTGTAATATGTTTTGACTAATGCATACACTTGTGTAATTAAGAACTTTATCAAGGGAAAGAACACTGCAGTTGCTGAAAGTTCCCTCATGCCTCTTTAAAGTCAAGTCCTGCCCTTATTTTCCATCTACAAAGGCAGCTACTCTTGGGATATTTTTATCATGTATTAATTAATATAACTTGTTCTAGAACTTTATCTGAACAGAGTCTTGCAGAATGTATTCTTTGGGTAAAAGATTTTTTCACTTAGGATAATGTTTTTGAGACCCATCTATGTTGTTGCATGCATCAGTAATATTTCCTTTCATTAGTAAATAGTGTCCATCCTGTGGATATACCACAGCTTTTTTATCCCTTCTCCTATTGATGAATACTTGAATTGTTGCCAGTTTGGAGCGATTAGTGAGTAAAACTGCTATGCTTTTCTTGTGCGTAAATACTTAGGAATGGAATTACTGGGCCACAGGTTAGGTATATGTTTAGTTTTGTAAAAAAACTGCCACATTTTTTCATTAAAAGATTTTTTTTTCTTTATTGATATTAGAGAGAGAGGGGAAAGGAGAGGGAGAGATAGAAATATCAACAAGAGAGAACATCGATTGGCCGCCTCCTGCATGCCCCTAGGCCCACAACCTGGGCATGTGCCCTGACTGAGAATCGAATCTGCGACCTCTTGGTGCATGGATTGTCGCTCAACCACTGAGCCACACCGGCCGGGCTGCCAGACATTTTTTCAATGTGCATCATTTTACATTCTCACCAAAATGTTTGAATGTTCTGGCCATTCACACCAACACCTGGTATTATCAGTCTTTTTAAATGGAACTGTTCTTTTGGATGTGTAGCAGCATCTCATTGTGCTCATTTTTATTGCTTATTTTAATGTGTACTTACCTGATAACTAAAGATGTTGAGCCCCTGTTCATGTGCTCATTAATCACATCTCTCTTCCTTTGTGAAACATGTTCAAATCTTTTGCCCATTTTAAGATCTTATTAGTTGTCCTTTTATTAAGTTGAAAGAGTTTTTTATGTATCCTGGAAACCAGTCCTTTGTCACCTGTGTTTTATGAATATTTTCTCCTAGTTTGTGCCTAGCCTATTCACCTTTTTTAATATATTTTTGCGGAGAAGTTTTTCATTTTGATTCTCATTTATCAGCAGTTTTTATTCCTTTTTGTGTCCTGCCTGAGAAACCTTTGTCTACTCTCAGTGTCACATTTTGGATGTATATTTATTACTTATCAATTGGTGTATCCATTAAAAAATTTTACTTAGATCATTAAGCTTTTACCCAAATGTCAGCGCTTCTTACTTATGACCTTATGGTCTCTAACAGAAATCTAAGCATCTCAACAGAATATATAAAGTCAGTAGTTTCAGGTTTTTTTTTTTATTTTTTATTTTCCAACACAAATAATATTTTTTAGTTTTGTTGAGTCTCATTTATTTTAGAGGATGGGAATGATGGCAGGAGTGTATTATTCTCAGGCACGGGAGAAGAGGGTATACATGGGAAGACTAGTAATTCTAACATCCCTCTCTTTTTCTTCCCCTCTCTTCTCTATATGACTGGCTATTGCCCACCTTCTCCTTCCACTGTTCTGATCGAAAGGATCACAGCTTCCAGGCTTCCTCAGTCCATCGTGTTGGCAAAGGGTGGCCATCTGGAATTGTTAGAGTCGCTGACATTATATCTAAATTTCTTTTTTTTTTTTTTATCCTCACCTGAGGATATTTTTCCATTTTTTGTACAGATAGAGTGGGAGGGAGAGAGAGGAAGAGAGAGAGAGAGAGAGAAACATCGATGTGAAAGGGACACATCGAGTGGCTGCCACCCGCACGACCAACCAGGGCCGGGGACAAACTGCAACTGAAGTACGTGCCCTTAGCGGGAACCGAACCCGGGTCTCTTCGGACCGCAGGCCGACGCTCTAACCGCTGAGCCAAACTGGCCAGGGCTTATATCTAAATTTCAAAGTCCACTAGGGATTTTGGACAGTGTATGAATTTGCATTATCCCGGAGAGAACTATCAGAGTATAAGTAAAGTAGTGATCTATATTTATAGACCTACTTTCACAGGTGTTTAATATAAGCATTTCTTTAATACTATTTAGAGCAAAGCAGTGGTTGTTGGTAACATACTTGAGCCTAAAAGCTGACTATTCTATTTGCTAGGAGAAGCATTTTTTACCCTTTCATTTTGAGTCTGTATTTGTCCATGTAGCTTAGATGTGTCTCCTGAAGGTTTTATTTTTTGATCCAGTGTACTATTCTGTGCCTTTTTATTGGTGAGTTCAGTTCTTTTACATTTAGGGTAATTATCGATGTCTGAGGATTTCCTGTAGCCATTTTAGTTTTTGTTCTCTGGTAGCTCTGTGCCTTCATTGTTTCTTTTCCTTTGTGCTTTTGCCTGTTCTTTTTGTTTGGTGGTATGCCGTACTTTTTTCTGTTTAGTCTTTTTTATTATTATTTATTTCATTTTTTTTTTATCCTCACTTGAGGATATTTTTGCATTTATCTTCAGATAGAGCAGGAGGAAGGGGGGAAGAGAGAGAGAGAGAGAAACATCAATGTGAGAGGGAAACATGGAGTAGCTGCCACCCACACAACCCCAACCAGGGCTGGGGACAAACTGTAACTAAGGTACGTGCCCTTAGTGGGAACCGAACCCGGGACTCTCTGGTCCATGGGCCAACGCTCTACCACTGAGCCAAACTGGCCAGGGCTGTTTAGTTTTTTTAAGTTAATGTGTCTCAGATTTGAGGTTTTTTTTTGTTTTTGTTTTTGTTTTTTTTTTTTTGCGTGTAGTTAAAAGTTTCAGATAAACAGTACTCATTTTCCTTTTGAATGCATCTGATCTCCATCTTCCTTTGCAAATTCAGACCTTTACTCCCTCCCCTTTTATATTTTTGTTGTCAGAAATTATTCCTATTTACACTGAGTTTGTTGGTGATCTCAGTTGTAGTTTGGTCACCTTTTGTTCTTTGTTTCAGGTAGAATAACCCCTTTGAGTATTTCCTGAAGTGGAGGTCTTCTGGTGGTAAATTCCTTCAGCTTTTTTTTTTTAAATCCTCACCCGAGGACATGCTTTTATTGACATGGACCTGAAGAATAGTCAGCTTTTATTTTATTTTCTTGTTTATGTCTAATATTCTAGTGATTTTAAAAAGATTGTTATAGGTTTTAAGTGTACATTTCTAGGATACATGATCTGCCCACTACCCAAAGTCAAATCTTCCCTCACTATATATTTAACTCTCTTTACCCTTTATTACCCTCCTACTCTCCTTCCCTCAGGTAATCACCATACTGTTGTTTATATCTATGAGTTTTTGTTTATTTTTCTTGTTTGTTCATTTGTTCCTTTCAGTTTTATATCCCAGAAATGAGTGAAATCGTATGGTTCTTAACTTTTTCCGTCTGACTTATTTCGCTTAGTGTGATAGTCTCAAGGTCGCAAATGGCGGTAGTATTGCATTGCATATATGTGCCACATTTTCTTTATCCAATCATTTATTGAAGGACGCATCGGTTGTTTACATGTCTTGGCCACCATGAATAATGCTGCAATGAACACAGGTGTATATGTCTTTGCAAATAAATGTTTTCAAATTTTTCAGGTAGCTACCCAGAAGGGGAGCTGCTGGGTCATACGGTGATTCTTCAGGTCCATGTCAACAGTTGATTGAGGAGAAGTGTATCTGAAATTTGAGAGGATATTCAGTAGCACTATGGTTGAGTAATTTTGGATACCATATTAAAGGTTTTAGTTTTGTTTAATGTTTAAAAGAGATTTTATAGATTTTTTATTTTATTAGAGAAAGAGAGAAGCAAAAATCAAAATAAAACAAAACCAAGAATCTTACCCACCCCAGATCCAGAGTGGATCCTGTTATGGCTGTGATTGAGTGTACTTTGGGGAACATTATACAAAGAATCAATAAACATGAAGCATTTTGCAAGGATTGGGAAGCCAAATATGTAGTGCAGAATTAGAGACATCTGGTTGCCAAAAATCTCCTAGTTAAGGAAGTTAATCAGAAGTTCAGTGTCTAGAAGGTTCTGATCCTAGTTAGGAGACCTCCGGATTCTCTAAAACAGAGTAATCTTCACAGGACTGTGGAATGAAGAATAATAGTTCAATCAGTTATAAGTGTGAATATTACTATTGTTATATTTGCCACAAATTTTGATGTGGAAAAACTGTGTCCTGAGATCTACTTTTATTTTTGGTCCTGAAGTCTAAGAATAGCACAGGGCCTACCACTAGATTTACAGTAGCTACTTATGACTGTGTGTGTTTTGTGTGTGGATACACACATATACACACACTTTTTGTGTGTGTGGGAGATGGGTTTGGTGGTGGTGGTGGTGGCAGCGGTGGCAGCAGTAGATGTTGAACTGGTTATGGAAAACTTATCAGTTTTTTCAGTGGCTTTCTTGGAGATCTACCAGATTTCCTTCCCAGACATTTTAACCCAGGAATCAGATTTTTTCATGTTTATTGACATGGACCTGTCAATATCAGTGCCCATATCAAGCTGTTAATCACATGATCAGTGGAGAGATCTCTAAGGAGGCCAAAGAGATTTTTAACTCTTTAGACAATGAAAAGTTGCCTTTGGGATCCAAGAGGCCCACTTCTATTTATTTCAACCTAGTATTTCTTCTAATCTCAACACCCCAACTATGCATGCTTTTGGGCTCTGAGGTAGCAATATTGAAAATGGAATGAGTTGAAGGGATGGGGATGGTTTGTTGATGAAGCTTGGTGACTAGATTTATATACTTTTTTCTTTACTGTTATTTTTTATTATTACAGAAGAAGCTACTATGGAGGAAACTGGGCCAGTTTCAGCTTTTCAGGACTGTTGTCCTGGATAAAGGAATACCAGGTAAAGTTCTTATCTAATTTTTTAATCTACTAAGTTTTATATGCGTCACATAATTAAAGAAAACCCTTGGCTTCATCTGTAATATAGGATTAATACTTCATTTTAATTTATTTAACAAAAATTGTGCAGTCACCATTTCAGCTAATATTTTTTTTTATTGATTAATTTTTGTTACAGATGTTTCTCCTTTTTTCCCCCACTGATTCCCCCCTCCCCCTTCCCTCCCTGCCCCTTCCCCAGATTGTTGTCCATGTCCACTGTTCATGCATACATGCATATATTTTTACAATGCCTTCAAAATATAGATATCACTTATTTAAAAACTTTTTTTTTTTCTTGATTTTAGACAGAGAGGAGGGGAGAAGGAAAGATAGAAACATCGATGAGAGAGAACATCAATTGGCCACCTCCTGCAAGCCCCCCCTGGGGATTGGGCCCACAACCTGGGCATGTGCCCTGACCTCTTGATGCATGGTTGATGCTCAACCACTGAGTCAGTCACACTAGCCGAGCTATAGATATCACTTTTTAAATATAAATAGGTATGCTGACTGAAGAATAAATCATATAAACTTGATACCATTTTGTAATTATTCTCTATGTCCAAATATAAGGCAAATTTTCCCCCCAAAATAGTCTTTCAGAAAAAAATATTTCTGTTTTTATAAAATCTCACCTATACTAGTTGTTCTTTCACTTAGTATATTTTGAATACAAGCACTATATGGGGAAGGTACATTCATTTGGAATGATCTCAGTCATCTGTGGTTTTGCATACTTATAGAAGTCACCTGACAAAATCAGTAAAACTAAAAAGCAAGGAAAAAAAAATTAACAGAAATTAGTAATTTTTCCCTCAAGGGTAAGGTCTCACTACTCTGACTGTTCTATATCATTGTAAAGAAAATTTTTATAGCTATTTAAAGCATAGTAAATGGGGTGGGGGTTGGTTATGTTATGGAGTTTACCAGTTTTTTAAAATCTTTATTGTTGGGAATATTACAGATTTTCTCTCCACTTTATTTTCCCCCATTGACCCACCTCCACTTGGTTCCTGCCCCACCCCAGGTCTTCACTGTATTATTGTCTGTGTCCATTGTTTATGCATATAAGTTCTTTGGTTACTCTCTTACTGTCCCCGCTACCCGCTTTTGCACTGAGACTTGTCAGTCTGTTCCCTGCTTCCATGTTTCTGGTTCTATTTTATTCATCAATTTATTTTGTTTATTAGATTCCACATATAAGCGAGATCATGTGATACTTGTCTTTGTCTGACTGGCTTATTTCACTTAGCATATTACTCTCCAGGTCCCTCCATGTCATCTCAAATGATAATAGATCTTTCTTACAGCTGCATAGTACTCCATTGTGTAAATGTACCACAGCTTTTTTATCCACTCATCTACTGATGGACACTTGGGCTGTTTCCAGTTCTTAGCTATTGTAAATAGTGCTGCTATAAACATAGGGAGTTTACCAATTTCTATGAGATGGGTATATTTAAAAACTTTTTAAATATAGATAAATGATATATGTGGCTTGGAATGAAATTCCTACTGAGAGCATTGTATCATGTAATGATGGAATCAGGAACTACTATATCTCAAAAGAATTTAGGGAGTTCAGAAAGGAGAATGCTATATACTCTAGAAAATTGTATTCAGTTAGCTAAAATACTATAGCTAAGACATATTAAGCACTTACTATACTAAGCATTCTAGTTGTACTCATTAATTTTACGGTATACATGACTCAAAAAGTGCTTCCAGCGATGATAAAGACATTGATCTTGAAGATGCAGTGAAGGCTCAGTTCCAATAATATTGTTGCATAGAAATGAGAGTGTGGAGAAAGAAGTAATATTTGTGAAGTAGCATTTCATGTGATTCAAACTGCGTATAAATCAAGCAGGTCGATGTTATAAGTAGACTTTAAAATGTTTTATCTATATGCCTTAAATATTCATATATTTATGCGTATCAGAAACCCTCTTTTGTACCTAATCCTTGGGGAGTATTACGTGAGGGTCCCTGATACTGAGGCATGTTTGGTATCTCCATGAGAAAATGTAATCTAGATTCTCAGAACAACAACAAAATTCCCCAGTTGTCTGAACAAAAAAGTTTTAGCGAGTGAAGGGATTTAAACACAGTAAATTTTGGTAATGGGTTAGATTTATTAAAATAAAAATGTTTTTGTGGACATTTATTTTATTTGAACACTTCACTTACTTTAGCATCTTGACTCAGTCACTGTATCCTTTAACCCCTTCTGTCTGTCACTGGGCTACAGTTCTTTTTATTAGAAGAGCTGTCTGCCTCTGCATTTCTTCAGTTTGAATATTAAATCCAAGACAATGAGACTTTTTAAATTAAATTTATTGGGGTGACACTGGTTAATAAGATCATATAGGTTTCAAGTGTACATCTCTATGATCCATCATCTGTACACTGACTGGATTGTGTGCCCACCACCCAGGGTCAAATCATCTTTCATCACCATATATTTGGCCCCCTTTACCCTTTGCTACCCCTCACCCCCTTCCCTGTGGTAACCAACATAATGTAAGACAATTAAACTTTAAAAAATAACTATTGTCCTACTTTATCCAATCTGTAAGTTTAGAAATTTTCTGAGGTGAATTTACATATAACCAGGATATTGTAGTTATATTTCACTATAGGTTCTCTGGGTATATATAATATATTTTTAAACTTTTCTCTCTAAAAGATGGGTGTCAAATAGATTAAAAATTTGAATAGATTAAAACTATCCTTGAGCCCTGGCCCACTGGTGTTGTTCAGTGGTTAGAGCATTGGCCCATGCACTGAAGGGTCACAGGTTCAATTCCCAGTCAAGGGCACATACCTGGGTTGTGGGTTCGATCCCCAGCCTGTGCAGGAAGCAACCAATCTATGTGTCTCTCACATCAGTGTTTCTCTCTCTTTTGTTTTTCTCTCTCCCTCCCTCCCCCTGTCTCCCCTTTCCCCCTCTTCAACTCTCTAAAAAAATCAGTGGAAAAAATAACCTCAGGTGAGGATCAACAAAAAAATCTTGACATCTTCAAAAATTCTCTGTTTTCAAATATTACTGTATCACACTTTTCTCCATAAAATATAAGTAGGAATTATTGGACAATTCAAAGGATAACTTTTAATCCTTACTGATAGTTTACATACTTTTTTATACTTTCTTATTTTTATTGTCCTTCTGAATATAAAACATCAAGGGTTGATTGTTATTGTTGATTACAAAGTCGTTAGTTGTGTTAGGCTGAGGACTTTTCCAAAACACTTTTACATGTATTCAGAATTTGACATGGCTAGTGATCAACCTTCAGCAATCTAAGAGTAAGTAGAATGAAGTAATTTTGAACTTGCTGTTTTGACAACAAAATGTAAAAACTTGATTCACAAGAACAAATAGAACAGATAGGCTTGATTCTCAGCTGATGGAGCATTAGTTGTCCTAGTTTTTAGCAACGTAAGAGAGTCCTGCCCAAATGACTGCATCAAAATATCAAATATCCTGATAGAAATCTGCAAACCAGACCTAGCTTCTGATAGGATAGATTTTATACAGTTTTCCTTTCCTTCCTTTGAAGTTGGCACACTATGCTGCTGGAGTCGCTTCAGTGACTCTGAAGTGATATTCATCTTGGAGTTTTGATGGGATGAAAGGCAAAGCATGAAATTGTAAAGGTACACATTTTCTCCAAAAAGTAGAGGTTCAGATTTCTCAATTAATTAAAATTTCTCGTTTGTACTTTGTTTAGGAAAGTAGTGGCATTGTGGATGAAAGCCCAGCCTGGCAAGAACAGATCCTTGAAGATGAAGAAGCCATCGCTCTTAGCAAGATGGACAAAACCATTCAACATGTGGAAGTGTTTTGTTATGCCAGGTATGGAAATTATTTATTTAGGATAAACTAAGAAGTAAGAAGGGTCACTTTTTACTCACACTTCTTCCAAAGAAGCCCACAGGAAGGATTTATGTTGCATTGGTTGCTACACGTCTAATAGATCTGCTGGTTTGCCTTTTTAAAAACGTAACTTTCAGTTTTCTCTATTTAGATAATTGGGATAAGATCTTACATTAATGACCTGTAACTTACCAAGCTCTTCTAAATTCATTATCTTATTTCATTCTTAAACTAGGTGCTAGGATAAGGCAGATTATATTAGTGACTATTTTTTTTACAGACTCCTCACTAGAACTAAAAACGATTAATTTGCTGAATGCCACATTATTTGGGAAATGTCAAGGCCACACCCAGGTTAGACAGTAGTGAAGCCTAAGATTAAAACCCACAGGTTTTAAATTGTAGTCCAGTGTTCTTCTACTTCTTTTTAGATAATATTCAATGGAGCAAAATGGAAACTACACACCGCTCTTCGTAGACAGTAATTAGTATAGCATAATGGGGAATTTTGATTTTGAATTTAAGAAATCAAATTGAGTGGTCATAACATTTGGGGACATACTGTAAATCAGGAGAGGACAGTGGGGAATATGAATATTTTAAGTGAATCTGACTGAGAGAATTCATTGTTTTAAACGTTTGAAAAAGTTGATGTCTTCAAATGACAGCATTGATAGGCTGAAAAGTAGCAATCATGTAGTTCATTTAAGTAGTTAACAGAGTTGAGTTTAGAATATCAGACCGTCAGATACTTTAATAGTTATTAAAAATTAAAATCCAAGACACTGCAGACTCTTCAGAATATATGTGGTCATCCTGCAAACTTTGGGACCTTGCTGTTTATTTCTTCATCTGTGTTCATATCTTTCAGGTAACTAGCATTTTCTCCCATAAATACACAGTTAATTTTTTCCGATTTTCTGCAAAAAAAGACAGCCTTTCCAATGCCAGATATATTTTTATTTTTATTTTTTATCCTCATCCGAGGATATTTTTCCATTTTTTGTACAGATAGAGTGGGAGAGAGAGAGAGAAACATCGACGTGAAAGGGACACATCGAGTGGCTGCCACCCGCACGACCAACCAGGGCCGGGGACAAACTGCAACCGAGGTACATGCCCTTAGCGGGAACCGAACCCGGGTCTCTTCGGACCGCAGGCCGACGCTCTAACCGCTGAGCCAAACTGGCCAGGGCTCCAATGCCAGATATAGATTATAATTTATGTAATGCTAAATGGCATTTTGTATGGAAAGGTATACCTCTTTGGCATTGTCTAGAGCCAGTGTGGACAGATTTATAACAGAAGGTGATCTCAACTGAAAAGACACATGCTTTAGTGAAACCAGGAATAAATATTTGGTAGCTTTCTCGTGTGTCCATGAATACTACTTGTCTAGAATATAGTAACTGTCACACTGTGGCTCTTTGAGAGGGTATTTTTGGTATTTTAGGGCCTTTGATTTCTCCCTACTCTTTATGACAATTAGGGTTGATAGTTTCTAATGACTGAACTGACATGTTTTATTTATTTATTTAATCCTCACCTGAGGATATTTTTACATTTACCTTCAGACAGTGGGGAGGGGAGAGAAACAGAGAGAAACACTGATGTGAGAGAGACACATCGACTGGTTGCCACCTGCATGACCCCAAATGGGGCCAGGAATGAACCACAACCGAGGTATGTGTCCTGGGTTTCTCTGGTCCGCAGGCCGATGCTCCAACCGCTGAGCCAAACTGGCCAGGGCAAGGATGTTTTTTGCATTCATCTTCAGATAGAGCGAGAGGGAGAAAGGGAGGGAGAGAGAGAGAGAGAGAAACATCGATGTGAGAGAGACACATTGACTGGCTGCCACCCACACAACCCCAGCCGGGGCCGGGGAGAAACTGCAACCGAGGTACGTGCCCTTAGCGGGAACCGAATCCAGGTGTCTGAACCGCAGGCCAACGCTCTAACCACTGAGCAAAACAGGCCAGGGCTGAACTGAACACATTGTGAGTGCAGAGGAAATGATCTCCTTGTCAATTTCTGATTTGTTCAGTTTCATTTTTGGAACTTCTGAAAGTGATCAAGTGAAAGATTGGTGGTAGAAGGTATGTTTTAAATCAGAGAAGTAGAACTCTGCTCTGTGTGCCTTGCATTGCCCGTAAGAGCATGGAGCAAAAGGTGAACTGGGATAATGTTCTGTGTGTCTACATTCACTTAGGAAGGATAACTGGTTATTTATTAATGTCATACTAAACAGGAAGAGCCCTGAGAGCATCCAGTGGAGGAATGTACAGAGAATCCACTTGTCTATAACTAGGGCTACAGACATGGGTACACACGAATAAAAATGCCTCACTTAGCCCCAGCCAGACTGTGGCATCCTTAACCTCTCCGATTATGTGAACGGGGCTAGGGCGGAATGGCTCTCACAGAGATTTACTTTATATGAGAGGTCATTACCCAGGACCCATGGATTTAAATCAAAAGCCTTGTTTAATACATAGTTCTGACAACCTTATTTTCTGTGTGTGCTTTTTTTTTTTCCTAACGTAGTAGTTGAAAGCAGCAAATAGGAAAGGGACATCTGCTTAGAGGCAAGCATACTGAGACTCACACCGAGACCCAGGTTATAGTCCTGTCTTTACCATTCAACTTGCTCTGTGATACTGAGCGACAGCTGCCTCCTCTCTGGGCCTGTTTTACCATTAGCAGAACGTAAAGGGTGTGGACTGGTTGATCCCAAAGGTCCCACTAGGCTTTAACATGCTGCTATTTTAGGTGCGAATTAAGGGTGGTGATAATTATATTGAGTTTTATTTAGGTCAGAGGAGGATGGTGATAATTATATTGCATTTTCTTTAGGTAAAAGTTAAATTATGTTCTCTATCCTTCACTTGCAAATGTAGGGGAATTTTAAATACATTTTAGAAAGATGAGTATTAAAAATGAATTGAAAGATTGAGACGACATGGAAGGACCTGGAGAATATTATGCTAAGCGAAATTAGCCAATCAGAGAAAGACAAATACTATATGATCTCTCTTATTTGTGGAATATAATGAACAAAATAAACTGATAAACAACATAGACCCAGAGACATAGAAAGGAATATGGTTCAGACTGACAGACCTCAGAGGAGAGGGACGGGGGGAGGGATGAGATAAACCAAAGAATTTACATGCACGTATGTGTAACCAGTGAACACAGACAACAATCCTGGGGGTGGGGGTGGATTGGGAGGAGGGTGTCTAGGGGGAGGGGGAAGGAGAAACATCTGTAACAAAAATAATTAATAAAATTAAAATAAAGAAAAAATACCAAATAGGTAAAAAGACAGTCAAGTTAATTATTCAACTGACTTAAGGAGGTTTTTAAACCAATTTTCTGCAGGCAATTTGGAACAGTCGAACTTATTTGTACATATGGTTCATTCTCAAAATACATATATTGCCACCAAAAAAAATGAATACAATTTTTAACATTTCAAGAGATTATCTTTGCTTTACTAGAAAATGTCCTCATTTTCTCCTTGACTAAGTAAAGTTATAATTGTGTTGTAGATCCTTGACATTCTTGTGGACTGCATCACAGAATCTTTGTGAATCCCCTTTTGAAAATAATGAAAAATATGGTACAGGTTCCTGGCTTTTGTTGTTGATACAATTGTTTTTTACATGTGTTATTGATGTTTATGTTATGTTTTGTGGACATAGGGTATGTGTGTGTGGTTCTATATGATTTTATTATATATATTGCTTCATGTATCTATCACCACAGTCAATTTACAGAACAGAACAGTTCCATCACCACAAAGATACCTCCTGTTGCCATTTTATAGCCATGCCTCATCCTATGCTCTCCCCAATCCTTAACTCCTGGCAACCACTAATCTGTTTTCCAGCTTTATAATTTTGTCTTTTTGAGAATGTAAATGGAACTATCCAGTAATCTTTTGCTATTGGCATTTTTCACTGAGCATATTTACCTGGAAATTCATACATGTTGTTGAATGCATCAATAATTTGTTCCTTTTTATCATTGAGTAGTATTCCATGGTATGGATGTACCAGTTTGTTTAATCATTTACCAATTGAAGAACATCTAGGTGCTCTCCAATTTTATCTGTTATAAATAAAGCTGCCATGCACATTTACTCACAGGATTGTGTGGAAATATAACTTTTTGTTTCTCTGGGATCAGTGTCCAAGTGTACTGTTGCTGGGTCATATGGTAATTGCATGTTTAGTATTAAGATAAAGTACAAAACTATTTTGCAGAGGTTCTATACCATTTTACATTTCCACCAGAAATGTATGAGTGATTCAGTTTCTTCACACCTTCACCAGTACTTGGTGTTGTCACATTTTTATTTTAGCCATTTTCATAGGTGTGTAGTGATATCTCATTGTACTTTAATTTGCATTTTTCTAACGATTGATTTTGAACATCTTTTCATGTGCTTATTTGCCGTCCATATGGGTGAAATGCCTGTTGATATCTTTTGCTTATTTTTTAATTGGATTGATACTTTCCCTGTGGTATTTTGAGAGTTCTTTTTGTATTCTAAATATGTGTCCTGTGTTAGATATTGGTTGCAGATATTTTACCCTAGTCTGTAGCTTGTTTTTGATCTTTTATAAACATAGTATTTTGCAGAGCAACTATTTAAAATTTTGATGTGGTTCAGTGTATCAGCTTTTCTTTTGTGGATTATGCTTTTGGTATCAAATCTGAGAACTTTATGCCTAGCTGCAGATACAAAAATTTTTTCCTATTTTTTTTCAAAATCATTTTATTGTTTTATATTTCCATTTTAAGTACACGTTCCACTTTAAATTAATTTTTGTATATGATGTGACGTTTAGGTTAATGTTTGCTCTTTATTTTACTCCTCATCCAAGGATAAGTTTTATTGGTTTTAGAGAGAGAGGAAGGGGGGGAGGGACACAGAGAGAGAAAGAGAGAGAGAAGCAGTGATATCAAAGAAG